CTGAGGCCCCCCCCCCTCCCCCCCGAGTGCACAAATTTTTGTGCACCGGGCCTCTAGTCTATATAATAAAAGCCTAAGTGACCGGTATGGGGGAATGACCAGAACGACCAGTTGCTATGATGCGCTCTGACCACCCAGGGAGCAGATGCTCAATGCAGGAGCTGCCTCCTGGTGGTCGGTGTGCACCCACAGGGGGAGCGCCGCTCAGCCAGAAGCCGGGCTCACGGCTGGCGAGTGCAGTGGCGGTGGCGGGAGCCTCTCACACCTCTGCAGCAGTGCTAAGGTGAGCGAGCAGGTGAGTGGTAAGGAGCGAGGGGTCCTGGACTGTGAGAGGGCGCAGTGAATGAATTTCATGCACCGGGGCTCTAGTATAAGATAACATGCCTGTTCTTACATTATGATGTATGTAACCTAAGCTCAAATGGCACAGTGAGGTAAGAGGGAGGGGGAAAGACAGAGAAGAGAAACAAATGTGCCAAAATGTAAAAATAAAAAATAAAAAATGGGGGGGGGCGCTTAAAAAGATACATCTTTATGATGGGTATCATTTAGAGCTTAGGAATGGGTATTTATTTATTTTTTAGCCCTCACCCAAGGATATGTTTACTAATCTTAGAGAGAGAGAAAGGGAGGCAGAGACATATCGATGTGAGAGAGAAACATTGACCAGCCACCTCTTGTACACACCCCATCTGAGGACTGAACCCACAACCTGGGTATGTGCCCTGACCGGGAACCTTTTGGTGTATGGGATGACGCCCCAACCACCTAAGCCACCCAGCCTGGGCTGGAATAGGTATTTAATAATTCCTAAATTGATTTAAAATTAGTAGGTTTTGCTTCATAAAAATAAGAAGTGTGGAGGGATGCACAGGTAGAGCGCAGAGGGCTTTTAGGACAGTGAGATCATTCTGCAATGGTGCATGCATGTCATCACACATTTACCAAAACTCAGAATGTACGACACCAAGAGTGAAGCCTAATGGAAACTATGGACTTTGGATGGTAATGATGTGCCACTATCGGCACCTCAACTGAAAAAATACACCACTCTGGTGGGGGATGCTGACAATGTGGGGGGCTGTGCGCGTGGGGGCAGTGTACATGGGAACTCTCTGCACCTTCTGTTCGAACTCACTGTGAACCTAAAACTGCTCTAAAAAATAAAGCCTATATAAAAAGACATTTTAAATAAGACAATATAAAAACAGCAGCTATCCCCTCTTAGTATCTAAAAATTAAAAGCTTCTGTTCAGCAGAAAGCATCATTAGTAAACTAAAACTATTTGCTATACATATTTTTTTAAATTGATTTGAGAGACAGACATTGATTTGTTGTTCCACTTATTTATGCAAGTATTGGTTGCTTCCTGTATGTGCCCTGACCAGGGATTGAACCCGTTGGCAACCTTGATGTATTAGGACGATGCTCTAACCAACTGAGCTACCTGGACAGGGCTGCCATACATATTTTTGATGGCAAATATCTTTAATATATGAGAACTTTTACAAATCAAAAAGGAAAATATGAGTAGTTAAAATATTTTAAACTTATCAAAGGATATAAACAAGTGTTTCATAAAAAATATCCAAAAATTTCTTAAAATTTTAGTGTCACTAGTTATTAAATACACAAATATTAAAACAAGATATTTGGAGAGGATAATCTGGAAAAAAATTTTTACATTTTATTTTGAAAATTTCCAAACATATAAGAAAGTGGAGATAATAATAATAAACTTCTATATATACATCAAAAATGATCACTTACGGCCAACCTTGTTTCTTACACACCCCGTCTATTCCTGCCCCCATAGATGAGCTGGAAGTGACTCTTGGATGTCACATCATCTCATCTATAAATATTTCAGTGCCTATTTCTATAAGACAAGCCCTATCTTCATAGCATAACTGCAGTCCCGCCATCATTCCTAAAAAATTAATCATTTCATCAAACATCCAGTCAATGGTCAAATTCCCTGATTGTCTGATAACTGTTTTTGTAAGTGGTTTGTTTGAATCAGGATCCAAACAAGATTCATTCAGTGTAGTTGGTTGATATGCTTCTTAAGTCATTTTAAGCCCTTTAAAAGCTGTAGGTGCCCTTTCTACAAAATAGATTTTCCCTCTGTGTGGCAGGATGAGAACGTCCCAGAGAAGTTCGATTAAGGAACTACTGGAGCCACAATGGGAGATGCTTCTAGAATGCAATTTTTTTTTCTTATTTCAAATTATTCTCTCCTCTTCTGAATCACTTTTTAAATTTATTTTTTAAAATATTAAATCTGAATTTTTTATTTTTTGGTATTTTCCAATTGTTACAGAGAAAAAAACAATCATCACCCAAGACTCTACCGGATCAATTATTACTTTACTTGAGAGACTAAGAATAAAGGTAAAAGACTGTGAGTCACTAAATCAACAGTCAAAGAGATGTGAGTTTCAGTAGGGCCTAATTATGAACCAAATTAAACCACTAAACAGCTACATATAGTTATTTACAGTCCCACAGTGTCTGAGTTATTTTTTTCTTATGACGACAACTTCAACAATTTTCCCGAAACATCAAAGATTAAATTTTTTTAAAGTTTGGTTTGGAGCCCCTACTTCGTGGTGCTCTAAGCAGGCACTTAGCTGGCCAGCTGTGTAATCACTCCGGCTTCCTTAACAAGATGCACCGTGTTTCATAAAGCAATTCTCCTTCTGGGCCTTAGTCT